GGCACAATTAAGCTTAATAATTATTTAAAGACTGTAATAAAGATGAGTCCACTTTGTACCGCATTTTAGAGAAAGAAATAAGTAGGGTCTAAAGTTCAGTTTGGATAGTGTACCACCTGTGCAACTTTGTACTTTTCTAATCCAGTAAGATTGAAACTGGAAACACCTCCTGACACATTAGTCTCAAAACTTAAGAATTTCCTCAGTTCACATTTTGCTTCTTCGCTAATTTTTTTTTGTTTTTGTTGTGGAAATTATTCGTTGGGGGACTTTTGTGCCTTAGATGTTAATTTTAGAGATTGCTGCTGAACACCGTTGGTGGCCATCAGGAAACAGTAGGTCTAATTGAATAAAGCATTGAATATATTAACTGTTTCTTCCAGAATAGTCATTTTTCCCATTACAGATTCTTCTATAAAACAAAACAAAAAAAAGACGCTCATGGTTTTTAGTCCTTTAATGGAAAACCAGGGAATAGAGGCTTGTTAGAGCCTTGGGCAGGGCGCAACAATGTCTTCCACTGCATTAGCCCAATGATAACAGATTCAAACTGGATATCAAAACCACCAGAATTTGCATTGAGGATTAAAAACATGAACAGATGAGACATTGAATTATTGATCAATAATACAGATTGATGTTCAGGAGAAATTTAATATATTTTAGCTTCATTTCCTGTGGGGGAGACAAGACATTTCTATTAATGAGTGTGTCCTCTGTTTTCTCCCTTCCATATTCTTGTGTCTCTTTTGCAACTCACTGTCATTTCCTGAGTGATTTTAAAAGATAAACTTGCATATTTTACTTTGTAGCATGAGAATAAAACACAATGAATAGCTATTCTCCGAGTATAAACCAGGGAACGCCAAGCTTCATTCATCTCTGTTCATTCCTCACAGAGGAAGTTTATTATGGCATTTATACTGAAAAAAAAAATTATTCATTGTATTTGGTATAGAAAAGGGATGTTGCCAATAATTATTTCTGAGCCAGAGTTCTGTCAGCAGGAATGGAGTATGATTGCCTCTCCTGCCCACAACAAAAACTCAGATGAGTTGATTTGCAACAGTCTGTCCTATTGCTTGTATTCTTTCTGTATTCTCAGCAAGATTATTCCAAAACATTGGTACAAATTCCATAGTTGCAAAGAGGCAATTTCTCATTAGACCTGAAACTTGATAGAGATCCACATTACAAAAGAATATGGAAAAGTAGCTTGTGCCAGTAGCATATTTTCAATGCCTCTCTCTTTTATTTGCATCCACATTAGTTGAATAGGAACAGAGCTGGCCTTGAGCAAAAAGATGAAGTAGGAAATCTAAGCCCAGCTTCTTTCTGTGGTCTCTATTCCTCCTGAGTTGTGAATTCTCCCTAACCTCCAAGAACCCATCCCACCCACTCTCCCCCTCGCCACACACACACACACACACACACATACACACTACCTCAAACTCTCTCTCCTCTGTTTCAGGTCAAAGGCTTACAGCAATTTTCAACTCCCAGCACAAATGATTCTCAGTTAAATAGCTGACTTTCCCTGAGATATCTGCATTTTAATCCAAATTTCCATTTGTGAGATATAAAAACCAGCCCCTGTTAGAGAGGGGGAAAGGTAAAAGATATCATTCAAGCACAAAGGGTAAAGCTGAGAGTGGCAATAAGATAGATTCTTGAAAGAAGGTCAGGCAGGTCTTTTTGTTTTCCCAAACATTTGTACCAGCCACTTCTCAGAATAAGTTCAGAAGGCAAGCTTGATTCAGTTGTATCAGAGGAATGGAAGGAAAATGTGTATAGAAGTAACCAACAAGGGGAAGGCCCACACACTTATTCTCATGTTTCCACAAACCTGATGCAGCTGCTCTCATTGAAAAAGAAAAGGAAGGAAGGAATAGAGTGAGTGAGGGAAGCGGGGAGGGAGGGAGACAGGAAGAAAGGGGAAAAACATGCCCCGCTAAGGGCTCTGTGCCTAAGGAAGCAACATGCAGGCATCATCTGTTTCTTCCAATCCTATTGGACCATAATTCTCACATCTTACTCAGAACTTAGATTCTGAAATCTGTTTACACAGTAAAAATCATGTAGAATCGACCATCAACAATTTTGCTCAATGATATCTTTTCAGTAAGTTCAACATTGACCCAAGGTTGCTTTTTTCCCTCCAGTCTTAAAGCACATTACTGTCTTTTAGTTGAGTACTAGATGAAATGTGAGAGGTATTTTATATGAAAAATATTTGCTTTGATCCTTCTCAGTGTTGTGATATGCCTGCACTGTGAGAGGCATGCAGCAACTGAGTCTGAGAGAAAGTGGAATCTCATCTCAGATTATACTGGGTAGAGTGGCTGGCACAATTGTTCACATTTATAGCCATGGAATCTGGAAGCTGCCCTGCTAACAACTGGTTTATCAACCCCAATCTAGCCTGATGATTTAACTTTTACTCGAGCAGGAGCACCCATAGGTCCTCGACCCAGAGACTCTGCTTCTTTCAGACCTCAGTCCTCTAACAGTGATAATTCTGGGAAAGGAGCCACTGTTTATTAAAGAATCTCTTAAAGGATCTTAAAGACTCTCTGAGTTAAAAAGTAGCATGATAGGGAGGAAATGAGACTGGCAGGAAGACAGGGGCATGAAGAAAGCTCTGGTAGTAGGTTTTAGCTAAAGCATTGAAGACGAATGCATGGGGATCTGGGTTATGGGATCTGGGGTATCATAGGAGTTTTTCTTTTAAAATGTGCTCACATCTCTGTGTGTGAATATATGATGATTAAACAGTGGGTGGTTCTAGGAGGAACTGTAAACATTAACATGGTTTTGAGACCCTGGTGAAATGATAGAGAAAAGAAGAAACTACAAATTTGATTTCACTATGAAAAAGAAATACTAGTTATAGAATTCACATAATTTCATAGCATTGACGGCTTTTTGCTTTGTAGAATAAAAAGTACTATACTTATTAAAAAGTGTGCTAGATTACTGTTGCTTTGACTTCAAGCATTCTTGCACACTTAGTATGTGCTCTTCTGCATGCTCTGCTCATTATTGTTTTTAGTCCAATAATTTGAAATATAATTTGTTTTGTTTTCCATTACCAAAGATTATTTGGGAAGAATGTAAATTTGTATTTCAGCATTACTGAAACCATTAATACATATGCCTTATCAAATAACTACTAGAAACCTCGTCAATAAAATAAACAATAAGTATTTATGCCAAACTAAGTTTTCTTTTTATAACAAAATATAAAACTTATGTACATAGGTATTATGGTTCACAGATTGTCACTTTATCACATTTATTGTGAAAAAATAGTGCAGATATTATTTGTAGCAGTACTAGCATACCCCCAAAATGCCATTAGCTTTTATGATGGAACTTTGTAGTTGAATGCAGACATTCTTGTCTAGAGAGTTGCTTCCTTCTGTGTAATGATTCAGGGGCCCAGGATCCACCCATCTTATAATACTTCTAGGACTTCATAGTCCTCTGTACCCAGTTGGTAGAAAAAGAAACATATGGAAAGGGCATATCTATTTTCTAAAAGCCTTGCCTTAGAGGTGACACACTTTCACTGTTATTCCATTGCATTTTGCTTTACTACTACCCTAAGGATTTGCTGCTGTCATAATTTCTCCCAGGTTTCTTTGTTCATAAAAGTTATTCTTTTGTCCCATTTCTAGTCAGGAAATTAAGAACACAGGCAATGAGGACTGAGCAGGACAGTGAGTAAAAGGTAAATGGAGGTCACTTATTGATTCTAGGAATCAAATCATTGGTGATCTAACATCAGAACAATTGGGAGGAAAAGGGCGAGTTAAAAGCCACCAGTCCTACATCTTTATTCCACTGGCATTTCTGCCCTTAACGTGTTGGGTGAACTTGGGAAAACAGTTGTACTCTTTGGGCCTGTGTTTTTGTAGTCATAAAATAAGGGACTTGCACTAAGGATAACCTTTCATAAAACCATAATTTGAGATTAAATTACTACATAAGCCTGCATTAATTAATAACCTACATGGTCTTGCCACAGGTAAATGTATGGTTTCATTTATTCTTCTTGAAATATTAAAAATAACTCAGAGACTTTATTATTAGTTGTACTATTACCACTACAACTATTATCACTACAATTTGAATTACAAAGACCCATTATTGAATGCTTACTACATTACATACATTCTGCTAAGTGAAATATATTTGCATATCAAGCTCAATCAGCCAGAAGTAGCACAACTGAGAAAGAAACCACAAGCCAAACCTGAAACCCTAACTCCTCATGGCTGCATTATACCAGATTCACAGATCACTATAGGGAACCATTGGCTAAGAGGAATTACCATTAGATGGTTCTATCATATCTGTACATTTGTGAACTCAGACCAAAAAGTGAAAAAAATCACTGTGGCCCATCCTCAGCTTGAAGTGCCCTTCTTCAGTTTGAACACTCTGTGTCTTGGTGTCCATATTTGACAAATGAAGTTTATCTAGCTTATCCATAACTCCCTCATATACCTTAAGTACCAATTAAGCCACTGCTCCAAGAGAATAAAAAACCCAACTTCTGAGAATTAACTATATGAACATAAGGTAATGAAGCCAACTCAATTATCCATGGTAAGAGATGACAAGGAAAAGCAAGACTAAATTAAATATACAGGTATATATAACCACATTTTTGCCATTCACCTAAGCTCCGAACTAGCGCTAATAAGCTGCAAAATAGATAGATTTGAATTTGATCACTTTCCTTCTCCACCTCCTACTCTTGTCTGGTTTAAGTGCTAATGGGCAGTCAACCACCCTTTAAAAGGCAGGAAAAGCAGAGGCTGGACTGTGCAATCAATAGACTGGATAATTAGCCTCTGAGTAATTGAGAGTTAACTGTCTTATATTAACTTCACCCCATTACTCCCAGAATATGAACAAGCCAGAGCAAGCTGGACACAAATATGAGAGAGCAGAAGAAAAAAGAAGGGTGGTAAAGGAAAAGAGTTCTTTACCTTAGGGTAATCATATCATGTGAACTCTAATGACACGAAACCAGATGACAACGGCAGCCTAGCAGAGCAACTCCAAACGTGACAAGATGGTCCGTAAGAGCTGTAAGAGAGATGTTTCCCCTTAGCACAAAATTATTTTTCTCTTTTCTTCCTACAACAAAAGACTCACTCTAGGCTTTGGCTGTGTTCCCAAAAGATTGGGTAATTAAGCAGGTAAGATTTCCAAGGAGAAATAAATATTTTTCAGTGACTAGACACTGTCATTGGGCTTTGATTCAAATGTGCATAATTTTTGAACAGGAAACATAATGAAAGGAATGTTTCACAAATTAATATAAAGCCCAAAGGCATACCTGGCACTCGCTTACATGAAATCATTGTCTTTCATAAGCCAGGAATGTCAACCGAGTATCCATCTTGGAAAATGATTTTCTCCTTGTAGTATTAGCACTGGTTTTACAGAAAGAAAAAACTCAGCTTGAAGAAAAATGCTTATAAAACAGACCTAAGCCTATTTTTTATAGATTTGAAGACGTTTTAAAATATAATAATATCAGTTTCAGCACCATCAGGGAAAACAGTGCCTCCTCTTCAGAGGTTGAGAAACTAAAGAGAAGGGTTAAATGACATGCATAATTTCACAGAGTGACTAATTCAGATTAGAGGTTTGGATATACAGTGCTGGCTCTAGGCCCAGAACACCAAACTACTATTCTCTAAAATTAATGTGAAACTCTGAAAAGTAAAATGGCTTAAGAAGCTGAGGAAAGTCCCCCCAAATATAATTTTAACTAAGCAAGTGAGAATGAGTCAAGCACAAGTTGAATGACAATTTTAAGGTGTTGGAAAATCACTAAATCATCACTGGGAAAATTGAACAAATTTTTTCCTTTATAGTGGTGATAGGTTTAGGGTGATCACGCTATACTCTTCTGTCTGTTCTCCCAATAGCAAAGAGAAAGATAATGGTTTAACCATGCAGTGGGGGATATACTTAGCAAGATCAGTTTCTATAAATTTGACTTAAGAAATTTGAAATAACATGATAAAAATATATTTATGAATCTCATTTTATGCAAAATATAAAATATGAACATCAAAAAATTAAACACATCAAGAATTGCTTCATTTCTAAGATGATGGTGAGCTGAGTTATAAATTCAAATAAATTCATTTAAATTGGTATATATTCCTATTATGAGAGCAACACATTTTTATGTGCTTAAACACTTTCGTAAGTTATTTTGAGTGCATAGCATGCCATTATTTTAATGTTCACCATCAGTGTAATTTAAAATCTTTTTATAGTCTTTATTTTTCAAATGATTAAGTGCCCATAATGGCACAGACTGCTAGGGAGGAAAAATCAGGAAATCAATAATATGATAGTAAAATTTAGAGGCAATAAAATATTAAGATAAAGGCTGTGCTTGTTATCAATTTATTGCCCATTGGCTCCAAATACATCCTTCACTACTTGCTCAATGAAAAAAGAGAAGGACGCTTTAAGTGTTTTTTTCTTTGCTAGGTGGCATGATATTAAGCTTTATCAAGAGGGTACTAGAAGGACATTGCACGAGAAAAGTGCTTTCCTTACTAGTTCTGGTGTGCTCCTGGACAGGTTCCTGCTGCACAGGCAGTTTCTCCAGTACCACAGCTACACCAGCAGCACAGTAGCCTCCATGGCACCTGGCTCCTGTCATGTATGTGTGTGGTAGTAGCAGCACCCAGAGGCCAGCAGCTTCCCCAGTCATCCACTTCAGGCAGTTTTGTAGTTGAAGGCCTTCTAGAGAGACACCTCATGGTAAAGACCTTTCCCCAGCACCCTCAGAGGTGGATTTCTGGCACGTTGTAGAGAGCATATTTCTAGCAAGTTCTACCAGTGCAGCAATACAAAGATTTCTCTCCCATCCAGTGAACCATAGCCATGCCATCTCCATCAAGGTCTGCATCTCAGTCTTGGAGAGGCAACTCTTCCTTGGGTGCTCTCATTCCTAGAGGTAGGGGCTGCTCTTTATAGCTACTAATACTATATTCTTTAGAATTTTCTTATTACCCGCAACCCCTAGCAACTACAATCCCTTGTTATAGGCTGCGCTTGTTATCAACTTATTGCCCATTGGCTCCAAATATATGTTTCATTGCCTGCTCAATAGTTATAGTTAATAATTCTTTATTATAACTTTCCTTGTTCAAATCACTCTGCAGATTCTGTCTTCTGAATGGACTTTGAAATGATACAAACTATGACTGAACCACTGTGATTCTCCATAATGTCATCATTGGAGAGATCACTGTGAATAATTTACAGAAAATGCTGAGAAAAAAAGAATTTTTAAAATACGCTAGAAATTTGAAGATTTATGCATTTGAAGAAGGCATCCACTGTTTACATTCATTCTTCAGGAAAATTTTCTTGAATTACGATAATTTTGAATTATGCTAGGTCTTCAGGAACTCATCCCTTATATGTGACTGTCCTTTATACACACACACAAGCTTTCTAAAATGTCGTCGATGTTTTTACGCCAGCCAAAAGCTCACTAAGTGTTGAGTCTGCAATTTATGCAAAAATATAACACTTTATAACTGCAAATATGAAACCACATACTGACCAAAATTACAGAATGTTTAAAAATATTTTGAAATTGAAATGAGGTTTGACTTTGTTCTCAAAGCGATATTCCTTTATGCAACTCCTACCAGTACTTGCATCATGCTGATCCTGTCTGCTCAGTCAAGTATCTTTTTCTTTGCACTGAAAAAGAGTCACAGGGGGAATAAACTACTAGGCAGGATGGATCAGCATCCAGCTTGCAGACAATTGTGAATATTTATAGAGCATTTGAGTATTATTAGCTGAATCTTTTTCTCCAAGCACTGTTTTGTTTAATATGTGACCAGAATAATATCTGAGAAAAGAAAATTGTGTGTGTGTACAGAATTTTCACACACACACACAGTGTGCTCATATGTGCTCACATTTGTGTAACTTGCCCACTGGCATTTTTCCTGTGGCATTTTCCATCTCCTTCTCAGACTCAGTTCTGACTTTCATTTCTCATTTTAGGTGTCCTGCAAAGTCAAGGACTAGACCTTCTTTCTCCTGAGGCATAAGAAATGGAAGGAGATTTCACTTTACAAAAGCAATGCAGGCTCATTCAAGAGAAATCAAGAAATCCAGATAAGCAAAAGTCTATAACTAAACCCCATAATTCCTCTAACTTATCCAGAGTCAATTTATGTTACCACCTTGTATATACATACACAAGTATGCACATACATACACAAGTCACATTCTTCAGGATCTTTTTCTAAATATGCCATATATGTATTTACTGTTTTTCTAATAGATTTTTCCAACTAGGCCATTTGTAGTGTACGTTACATTTCAGTACTACAACATCTTAGTATTGAAAAGAGTACAAGGTAACAATAAATGAATAAAAGAGGAATATGAAATTCGAAAGAGTAAAAAAAATTTCTGAAAAAACTTTGGAACTAGGAATATTTATTTTCTAACAAAGTATTTTGTTGACCAAACAATTTGCTTTTGGTTAAAAGTCCCCTTCTATTGAAGGAAAGCTGCATTGTTTGTAATAGTTAGAATTATTGAAATGCAACCAAGAATGCATGAAATATGTCCCATATATATCAGAACTAGTGGTCAGGTCAAAAGTTTAGGGTTCAAAAGACTGAGATCTAGAGTAGGAAACATCAAAGCAGAGCAGACCAGTTGGCTCTCACTGAATTTTATGTCTTATTTCAATGCCAAAAAAGAAAGAGTTGATATAGCTGTCTCAAAGTCAGTTATGAAAAATAACTTTCTCTCTTTCACACAGATTGGTCACAATTAACTTCACAAAGCAAGTAACTTGGTGAATTAAAAGTTTGCCATAGGATCAACATGTATTTTCTAAGGCGGTGTGTGTGTGTGTGTGTGTGTCTAACCTGTAGGAAAAAGGCACTGTCTAAAATATCTTAAGTAAAGGCTGTTCTTTGTTGTACAATCTTATCTCAGAAATGTGACTTCACTAATGTGTGAATTCCAGCATACATTTTTTTCTTCTGCCAAGAAAACTAAAAGGATCAGATTTGTGTCACCATTATCTAAGAATGAGATGACGTTCTACATTATTCCAACTTGAGGATAAAGAATGCCCTAGTATGTCATTTTTATTTTTGATGTTGAACACGTCACTTGTGTAAATACTTAACTTGATTTAGTAAATGTTTTCAAAACATTATGCTGTTATCAGTAAATAGAATCCTCTATCAAAATTAAATTATAGACTTAACAGCAGTAAATAAATTTACTTTACTAAAACTTTAGCCAGAAATAGAAAACACAACATTTTTATACTCTCCACTCACAACAAATTTCCAATATGATTCCTAAAGGATTTCAATATAAGAGAATTTTCATTCTATCTTTTGGTATTAATGTACTGCTACTGGTCTTATTTCTAATGTAAGAGGATGACCTAAAGAACCACAGATTAGAAAGTTTGAATCTTAAAGATGAATCTGGAAAGCTTCCCAGATGATATATCTGCATAATAAATTATATATAACTCAGAGGTTTAGACTGATAGAAGAGACAAGGAAGAATCAGTAATTAAACTTATTCTCCATGGACGTCCTGTTCACCCAGGGAAATTTCTACATAGGGTTTCTACTCCCTGGCATGCCTACCGCCGGGCTGCTTTAGAAGGCATGAGGTCATTACAATTAATCTTATAATATCCTGACATTTCAACTCAGCAACTCCCAATACCCTACCGAAACACTCGTATCATGATTTAGTAAATCTTCAGAGTTATTAGAAAAGTGGAGTTTTACTTTAGCAATTGAATGCCTACTACATTAAAAAAAAACCCTGTTTTAAGAAGGATTCAAACATGCATGAAATAAGATCTCTGCCCTTTAGGAATTAAAATGTAATTTAGGAGGAGAAGATGTAAATATGAAAATTACAAACAGAAGCTTATTTTATGAGATAGCATTCAAACACTAAACTCATATCTATGTATATTAAGTAAACTATGGTTTCAACCCTAGCCAGAAATGTATTCTTGAATTGCTATATCCAAAATTCTT